TGGACAAACACCATTTAAGAGGCTCTTACGTGGCATGCTGACAGTATTTTTGCCTAAGCTAAACCTTCTCGCTTGTGCGAGATATGCCCTGGAACATTTTCACTTAAGCTAAAACTAAGTTGCCTGGACGAGATTTAGGCTAAAACTTGAGATGCTTGATAACAGTTGATTTTACGTGTTTTGTATGTATATTTTGTGAATAAATCAACTTCTTCGTAGCTTTTACCTTGTTTTATCCTCAAGTTTAGTGAATTTTCTAGTTTTCTTGTGTTTTATTTAGTATATGCTTATTTTTACCTCTAATATCTTTGTTTGAATGTGTGAAATAAATGAATAGGAATATTGTAGTAGAGAAAAACTAACAAAAATTTAAGAGAACATGTTTTGGAACAATAAAAAATAAATTTGAAGCAAATAACCATATTGAACGCGTATAAAAACACTTACATTTTAGAACGTTATCTAGATTGTCAGGAACTGAGCGCCACTTTAAAGCACCGAGCGCCACCCTTACATAGAGAGCGCCACTTTACAGCACCAAGCGCCACCCTTACATAGAGCTCTGAATGGTTCTAGCGTTGAAAGGCGTTGAACGCTACTTTCAACCTTATTTTCAATTTATTACACACACAAACACCTCTCTACGTATATCCCCACACACCCTCACCTACTCACAACGTGAATGCATGTATTCACCCTCGTAGATACGTATGTGTACACAAGTATTCGTATTCACATATGCACAAGTATTCGCAGATACACACACTTCATCCACCGACACACATCCCTCGTACTCTTTCACACGCACACATATATGCATCACGCACACACGTGTTTACACACACATATCTAATTTAGCAATAATAATAAATGTTTGTTTTTTTTTCTTTGCATTACACACGATAAATTTTTTTAGTCATGTCAATTTTATCATCTAGAAACTTTTTACTAAATGTACCATAAATCTCACCTTCTTTTCTCTCATTTCCTTTTCTTTTCACCTATCCCAATCTAAACAAGTCTAAATATCTTTTGCATTTTTGTAAATTGTTCATTTATTTTAATTTTAAAATTTGAGACTTGACTACCTTTTTTAATTATATATCCTTAATCTAATTAATATGGAGTGAATAATTAATTAATATAATAATTCATTAATATTTAGTGTGAAATAAGGAAAAGAGTAATTAATTTAAAATTGAATTAAAATATTCTTGTTTTAAATTGAAAACTGAAAAACAACTGTTATGAAGACAGAGATAGTTAACATTGAAGAGGTGATACGTCAGATTATTATTAAATACAGCAATTATGATTAACCCAGATTTGGGAAACCGAAACTTTCCACAGACAATCATAATATAAAACTTTGACATTTATAAATAAACTTGTACTTTCAACAATAAGTAACACCTTTTCTTTAGAGAAATTAAACGTAAATCACATCACGTGATCAAATTAATGGCGAACCATGACTTTTAAAAAAATATATTTTTATACACATAATTTTTTTACATTCATTATTTTTCTTTATATTTTCTTTTTCTTTTAAAAATTACAAAAAATTATTTTTTTAAAACCATTTTACTTTTATTAAATATTTCAAATAAATATCAATATCTCTCGTACTATCCTTATTCTAACTTTTATTTGATGCAGCAACTATATACACAAATAGTTTGTCTCTGCATTACTTTCATTAAAGCTACCACTAGACATGCCCATAGGACCAACCCCACATGTTTTTATATTATTTATATAAACAAACGTTAACATTCACGCGCTCTGAACACATTGTCTGATGCAATTTGAAATGGTGTTCTCCCTGTGGTTGGGTCCTCTGCTCCTAGCCTCAGCTTTTGTATGGGCACTGGCATCTCCTCCACCATACCAAAGATGCGATTTTTCTGAGGGAAAATGGGTCATTGATGAACCCTCTTCCCACCCTCTCTATGAAGCTTCAAGGGACTGTCCTTTCATTGGCCAAGGATTTGATTGCTTAAGAAATGGCAGACCAGATAAGGAGTACCTCAATTATAGATGGAAGCCCTCTGGTTGTGACCTTCCAAGGTAATGTGATGATTAACTTAACTCTACCTTTGTTTTATATCGAATTGTTTCAGTTTTGTTAGTAGTTTTGAGTTCTCATTCATCAAGTTGTTTTAGTTTAATTTGTAGTTTTGAGTCCAAAGTTTATCATATATTTTAAATGGCAGCATTGTATTTTTCTGACTTGCAAGCTGTCATCATGAGGTTTTCAAATTTGAATTTTTTTTCTTCCCTCCCCAAATGGTGTTATTGGTGACAGGTTTGATGGTAAGAAGTTCTTGGAGAGAAACACAGGAAAGAAGATAATGTTTGTGGGGGACTCCATAAGTAACAACATGTGGCAGTCACTCACTTGTCTGCTTCACATTGCAGTCCCAAACTCAACTTACATTTCAACGAGTCAGACACAGCAACTTCTCGTGTTTTCGTTTCCGGTAGTTGTTTTTTTCTGTTTACAGAGGAAAGTGTTGAGCCTTTGTAGTTGTTTGATTGGCTTATAATTTGGTTCAACTTTTGGGACATTGTAGGAGTACAAAGCTTCAATCATGTGGTTGAAAAATGGGTTCTTAGTGGATTTGGCTATTGATAAAGAAAAAGGCAGGATTTTGAAGTTGGACACCATTAGCTCTGGGGATCAGTGGAAAGGAGTTGATGTTTTGATTTTCAATTCTTACCATTGGTGGACTCACACAGGACACGCTCAAGCGTAATGAAAAACCTTAGATTTGAGCTACCTTTTTTTATGCTTTATGAGAGGAGGTAGCCATGTGGCTAATGGCTTCAATTTAATGTTTTGTAGGTGGGATTACTTTCAAATAGGGACTGAACTGATCAAGGACATGGATCACATGGAAGCTTTCAAGATTGGACTCACTACTTGGGCTAAATGGGTTGATTCTAACATTGACCCTTCAAAGACTAGAGTTTTGTTTCAGGGAATTGCTGCTTCCCATGTTGAGTAAGTTGATTTCACTTGTATAACTTTGAATTTGCATTCATGGACTTACTCTTTTCTTTCTTTTCTTCCTTCATTTGAACAGCAAAAAGGGGTGCCTAAGGCAAACTAAACCAGAGGAAGGAGCAATGGCAGCATATCCTGGTGTGGATATTGTTAAGAAAGTTATCAGTAACATGGCAAATCCTGTACAATTGCTAGACATCACTGTGCTTACACAACTGAGGAGAGATGGTCATCCCTCTATCTACACAGGGCGTGGAACTTCTTTTGATGACTGTAGTCACTGGTGTCTGGCTGGTGTTCCTGATGCTTGGAATGAAATTTTGTATGCTGTTCTACTTGGAAATTAGTACCTTCATTCATCTTATTCTTGATTATTTATTGCCATGGAAGACTCCTTGGTTGTTTATTGCCCTTGAGGAAGTGTAGATGTTATCAGTATTGTAACTTGGGCTAATCTGAAAGTTGAAATAATCATGTGTTACTAGGTGATTTCTGTTGGATTATAGTAACAAAATAATATGAAAAATTTTAAGTTTGAGATGACATACATTGTTTGGGTGGAAAATCCTCATCAAGTGAAATTGATATTACAGTTTATCTCTTTAAATACACAGGGAAACTAATTATAGTTTATCTCTTTTAATACGAGAATACACTTTCCTCTAGAATACTATTTTTTTTTTCATTTGTCTCGATAAAATGAAAAGTTATAATTTTGAGATACACAAAAGTTCATAAAGGACCTAGTCTTACATGGTTGTAATTAAAGTTCATAATTTTCACCTTTTTCTTAAACATAAATAAGAAAGTTTTGTTGTGTTCATTAACTGCCCAATTTTCATTCATACATGGGTGTGTCGACTTGATTTCAACAATGTGTTAGGAAATATAAAGAATAAGTTCATCAATGTTGTTTAAGTTCATCAATTTTTTTTTTACTTACATTTTAATCTTGATTAATTGAATACCCTTACCTTGACATCTCTCATCATGTTGACTCTTTGAAACTATTATTGGTTCACAACTTGGCATACATACTACTCCACAATTGATCTTTAAAGATTTTAATGTATCTATCAACTAGGTACGTCCATCTTAGATAAATAGTGCCACATAACCAAATCTATCCCACCAAATGAACTATGTAATGCACCATGATATCAAAAAGGAACAATGAGAAATACATTTCCAATAGACACATTTTTGGGATTACCTCATTTTCAAAATCATCTAACACTTTATGATCAATAACTTTCTTGCATTGACATTGAAGTGATAATAGTTGTTGCATAAGCATATAACAATGTGAAACTTTAAACCAACCAACTTCAAATCTTACATAGACACACTGACTCTTAATATTTGAAGAGTAACCCTACTACACTTTCACACTACTTAAACACTTCAAAAGTATGACAAAATTTGAGGAACTTGATGAAAATAAAACAAACTACAATCTTTTCATCACTTATCATACCATTTATTGTTAAAAGTAAGGTTTAATAAATTTTTTTATTTCAACATTTAAAGAATTTATTTAATGTAATCTTCTATTTTTTTTTCTTCATTTCAGTTCCTATTTTATTTAGAAGGAATTAACGTGGTCTTTACTGTTAAATTGATGCTGACATCATTTTTAAAATATGATCATGTATCAGCGACTTTAGACTTATCCCAATTCTTCATCCACTCTGTTTCTACTCACCATACCTCAGATTGCTTTTGCACAGAATAGAGACATGTGTATGAGTAGAAATTGAGAGTCAAAAGTTGGAGAAGTTCAAAGGCATTTACACATAATCACGTTTCAAAATTTGTCACGCTCAATTTATTGAAATGGACCACATTGACTCTTAAAATAAACAGGAACTGAATTAACGAAAAGAAAAGTTGAGATCACATTAAAGAAACTCCTTAAATATTAGAAACAAAAAAAAAAACTATTAAGCCTAAAAGTAACATATCTAACATAAGCCATTTATTTCATAACTTAGTGGTAACCATGAAGAAATTGACCAAAGCATTTACGAAGGCACACGTCCACAAAATAAAACCACATTCTCCAGCAATGAGGACTGAACCAAAGGAGTGTCACCAACGCTAGGATTACCATGACATAACATGCAGCAAAACTCCAACAGAAGACATTGAAATCAATTTCAGAGTTTTCTTCTTCTACTTCACCAGGCAACAGAGTTGGTCGTAGTGGTGGTTTTGAACGTTCACTTTTACAGGTATCCCACGTAAGATACGGATTTCCTTTGTAGCTACTCTCATCAAAGGTACAAAACTGTCCCTTTTCAAGTGCTCTTCCTGACAAATTGTTGTAGGAAACATTGAAGACAGCCAAATAGTGCAAGTCCTGTAACTGCAGAGGGATTTGTCCACTCAGGTTGTTATTTGAAATATCTAAACTCTCTATGTTTTGTAGCTTCTGGAAGCTCTCTGGGATCAGACCATTTAGATGGTTGTGAGATAAGTTGAGAGAATGAAGGCCATGTAGATCTCCTAATTCGTGTGGAATCTCTCCTGTCAATTGATTACATGACAAATCTAGTTCGGACAGTAACTGATATCTATCACTGCCGAAGGAAAGATATAAATTTTTTGTTCTGAGTTGCATTACCACAAGAGGANATATATATATATATATATAGAGAGAGAGAGAGAGAGATTTAGATATCAAGTCGTAATAAGATTGGAAGTAAGTTTAATTGTGATTTAAAATTTAAAAATAAAATTTTTATTTTTATCTTTTTTTAAATTTAAATCATTTAAAAAAATTATTTTTTAAAATAAACCCAACACAATATAAGATTAGACCAAGTCAAATTAATTTAAAATATTATAATAAAATGTATTTAAATCAGATGAATAATTGAAGTTAAACCAGAACATTGTATTTTATTTAATCTCAGATGAATAATTGACTTTTCAACCTTAAGCTATTATTGCTTCAATTCCCTCTTGAATTGGTAAATTTTCACGCTCACTAGGTGATAAAATGTTTTCTTCCAAATGACGTTCATCCGTATTAGGTGTAAATGGAAAATTTGTCTATATTTAATTTATTCATTAGTTTCATCGTTTTTAATTTCATGTCTAAATTACAAAGTTTAAATTAAATAATTTCTTGAAATTAATTATTGTGAGGATTGTATGTTTTGTTAAATGAGGGAGTGTATTAAAATAATGTTGACTTAAGTGTAATTAATTATATTTTGGAATATCATTTTTTTTATGAGGATCTTGAATGTGAATCTTTGGACAGCTGATATGATTTGAATGGTTCTAAAAATTTTCACCTGTATTATGAGGGTTGAAATATGAATAAAGATTCATCTCTAAAAGATTTTTCAATGTTCAAGTTAGTAAGAGAGATGAGATATTGTGAATAAAAAAGAATGAACATGAGAGTGAGTGTGATAAAAGATTATCTCCTGAAAATATATAAGAATAAATTGAGGAAAAAAATTTTCAAGACAAAGTCAAAGATCAAAACACGTCTCCTTGAATCTTATAATATTCCATGAAGAAGAAAACTTAAATGAAGATCTTGAGTACAATCGAAGAATAATTTAGAAAATTAAATAAGTTGTAATTTTATTTTAATGTTACATAATGTTAAATTCGTTGGCCGAATCAGTTTTATGTTTGTTAAGCAAGCGGACTACATTAGGCGAAAGTCTAGTCTATAATTTTTGTCTTTTGTTATTTTTATGTGTTTTGGGCTCTAGACTTTATTTTAAAGTTTTCAGATTATCTTGAACTTATATGTCTTTATATAGAGTTACTAAAAGCTTATGTAAACGATTAAGAAAAAGATTGTCTAGAGAGACAAGATTGTCTAGCAACTCTTATTTTGAAGTTTAACAAACGAACATTCAACAAAATAGTGTTTATAACTTAAATCGTCTAAAGAATATGTTTGATAAAAACGGTGTCAAACAATGTCAGCAAACATGAATAATATTTAGGTCTAATATTTTGGTAGGTCACTTTTTTCGTCCAGAATCTTAAATAGGTCCCCTACAAATTCGGTGTCTCAATTATGTCCTTATTTTTGAAAAATTGAAACAAATAGAGGCTTGCTGTCAAATTGGACAAACGCCATTTAAGAGGCTCTTACGTGAGATGCTGACAGTATTTTCGCCTAAGCTAAACCTTCTCGCTTGGGCGAGATATGCACGGGAACATTTTCACTTAAGCTAAAACTAAGTTGACTGGGCGAGATTTAGGCTAAAACTTGGAATGCTTGATAACAATTGATTTTACGTGTTTTGTGTGTATATTTTGTGAATAAATCAACTTCTTCGTAGCTTTTACCTTGTTTTATCCTCAAGTTTAGTGGATTTTCTAGTTTTCTTGTATTTTATTTAGTATATGCTTATTTTTACCTATAATCTCTTTGTTTGAGTGTGTGAAATAAATGAATAGAAATCAATTCTAGTAGAGAAAAACTAGCAAAAACTCAAGTGAACATGTTTTGGGACAATAAAAGATAAATTTAAAGCAAATACCCTTAGACGCCTTTGAAATTGTATAAAAATTTATATTTTAGAATGTTATCAAAACTGTTAGGAACTGAGTGCCACTTTTTAGCACTGAGCGCCACACTTACATAGAGCACTCAATTGTTCTAGCGTTGAAAGGCGTTGAACGCTACTTTCAACCTTATTTTCAATTTAGGCTTAATTACCTACTTAGTCCCCATGTTCGGAGGTAATTTGCTGTTTAGTACCCGGTTTTAAAAATGTAGGCATTTGATACCTATGTTTTGAAATTTGTATCAATTGAATCCTACCCACTTAACGCCGTTATAAATCTAACGTTTTTCTGACATCAACTTTGAATTGTGGACGA